GTCTGGTGGGCAACCCCCTTTGTGGGTAACGGCGTCCAAAAGGTTGGGAACCACTGGTGTAGACGATGGGGGTCTGTAAATACAACCTACTAAGAGATTTGTTGGATTAATAGAAATTGTAATCCACACCGAATCAGGAAGTCTCTGGAGGAATGGTCCATTCAGAGGCAGAACCAAGTATTTGTCTTTGACGTAGATTATACAGCCACCACCTCTATCATAATGACGGTCATTACGAAAGATGTTATAACCCAGTATCCTGAACAATGTGTCAGACATCTCTGCTGAACACCATGTTTCTGTCATTAGTACTATATCAGGAGAAGAAAGGTGAAGGGTATTACGCAGGAAGTGCATTTTATTTAACAGTGAACGGGAATTAATTAAAAGTAAGTGCAGTGTCTTGTTGTCCGTTGGGTTGTCTACAGGAATCCAGGTACAGGACCCCAACGAGGTGGTATTTGGAGAGAGTGGAGTGGGGGTGGTGGATACGGAGGACATATAATTTGCGGAATTAGTGTCATTTGGGGGTGAGGCGGGTAGAACGCCACTGGAACCCCAAAAAAGGTTGGAAGGGTGAAATACTGGGAAAATGGCGACCCACTGGGAGATTACAGTTTTCTGGCTGTTGCACATAACCTACGTGCCAGTTAAGATTATTTACATGTTGAGGTAGTTTGATAGGATTTTGATTGGGCCAATTTCTCTCAGCTACTTGAAGTTCCCTAGCAAGTGGCTCACAAGTTATGGAGCGCACAGGTCGCATATTCAAATGCTGCATGGTTGGAGATATGCCGATTGTCTGCTGGTTTTCAGTGGTGACAGCGTTTGGTGGAACGTTTAAAATAGCTGTGTTTTTATTGTGCTTAGGAGCACCCGTGTAGATTCCACGTGAGGTTTTGCTACCGGTGTTCTTTGCAACAAGGCTGTTCCGCAGTTTTAAAGGTTCGCAGCTTTTAGGATAGGAGGTTTTCAGTTTCGTACCAGAGCGTCTATGCACCTTGTTGGTGAACGACAAAGAGTGAGTAGAAATAGTCGTTTGCGCAATGGAACTTTCTTGTATGTTCGGGGACGAGTTGCGCGGTAATGCTGGACTAATGTGACACAGAATGTAGTCAGAAGCGATATTTTTATGACAGTTGCTATTTGATTTCAACCTTAGAGCTGATTCATTTATGATCAGAGTGTCATCTAGGTCAACCAGGTGGGGAAGTTCCTGAGTTTCCGTGGGTGGCGGAACATATTGGTCACATACCGTTTGTCGGAAATAGGCTTTTTTGCACTCCCTTTGTAGTACTGTTAAATCTGGTTTCAGGACCATGGATACGTAATCTTTCCTAAGGGATAGTGCGCTCCTACTACAAATGAATTTTTCAGCAAGTGTGTCGTTCGAAAATTTAGAGTACTGGACAGACCTGCTTCGGAGATTTCTTTCGCAGCCTCACACAAGAAAACTGCTGTCTTTCAATATGACAGTCGTTTGCCACTGCAGAGGAGATAGACTCAAGAGATAACTTTTCTGGTAAATTAAATGCTATAACATTTTTGGAGCGTTTAATGCGATCATGCACCTCAAATGCAACATGTTGTATAAGATTCCCAACGGATCGAAGGTGTTCGATTTTTGGTGTATCTGGAGTATTAAAAAGATACTTAAGCGAGTTAAATTGCTCTAGCACTTGGTACAGAGATGCAAACCTTTCCTTCAAATCCATCAGCTGTAATTCAAGCGCAGCAATCGTTTCAATCGCTTTAATGGGCGATTCTGCAGTAACTGCGCTTTGCTCTATCAGAGAGACCTTATGAGAACTATCATTTGATTGCTTTTTTTACTCTTTCGCGCAACTTCGGCTTTATTTTTATCTTAGATGATGAGCCTTTAATTTTTTCCGTGCTGTCGGATTGGTTATAAGCAGGATCTTTTGCCAGCACTTCAATGGCTTCCTGTCTCTTCTTTGAGTTTCTTGTTTTAACTGAGGTAACGAGCATTTTTACTGATTGGTCACTCGGTTTTAAGGCTTGTGAAAACTATTTTATGTGGACAAGGATAAGAAAATAGGGGACAAATTTCACCGTTTTTGTTTCAGTGATCAAGAGGAATTAAACAGTTATCGACAAACCGCCGAGGAAACAGACTAGGATTTTAGGGCTTATACGACCTATCAAAAGTGCACGAGAATTCACACAGGTCCAAACAGGCCACGGTTACAGATGCAATGATCGATACAAACTAACCGGTTGTAAGAGCGCTCAGTTGTCCAAACTCCGCCGATTTTGGATAAACTAATGTCCCGGACCGTGGGAAATGGCTGAAATATATTTCCTTATTTTCCATCTACATACACGGTTGAATGTGGATTTAGCAGACTGGTTTCTGTAATAACAAGTAGAAGCAGATTTGACATTACAGCAAGAGATCTTGGATTCTCCCTGTGACCTCTGGAGCCGGACATAAGCAAGCTTGTTCAAGGGCATTCGGCTCAAGGCTAGCACTAATACAGGGTGGCGCATGAAACGTCACACCATTTCTTTCGTTCATTACACATGTATTTATCATCAACACATTACAAGATTAGTGCAGAATTAATTGCATGAGCATGGAAATTTAGTACACATTAGTAAGTGTTCAATGTGATCGCCATTTTGTTCCACAACCTCTTGCAAGTGAAGCTTTACATTTGTCACAAGCTTCCTGCAAGTTGTCCGAAATTAGACGGGACGCAACTACATGATGAAAGCCATGAGTTGAGCTGCACTTGCAGGCTTCCTTGCAAAGGCGTTATCTTTCAAGTAGCCGCACAAGAAGAAATCACATGCATTGATGTCTGGGTTATTTGTGGACCACTGTCTCCCACCTTGGTGACGCTCAGGAAACCGATGTGACATTACCCGCCCATCAAACATGTTATACAGGTAATGAAGAACAACATTTGCAGTATGTGGGCGGCCTCCATCTTGCATGAACCATTGTGTTTGCAATGGGAAACCTGTTGCCAAATTCTGGAATAAATCTGTTTTTCAACATGTCCTTACATCGATCCTTGTTCACCTTCTGTGCAACACTCAAGATGTTAATGAAAATGGCGTTTGGCGCCAAGGAAATATTCCATATGAACTTGTGACATCTACTGCATTTTTCATAAACCTAACTATACGAATACGCGTTTGCAACATTACATCCATGATATTCGATGAGTAATGAACAATACAAATGATATGAAATTTCATGCGCCACCCTGTATGTCGACAAACCTTGTTACGAGATTTCTACACCTAATACATGACATGCCTTACAGCTAAAAGCCTACAATAAATAAATACAACGTTATATATTCCTGATAAGTTTTGTGTAATTACAGACAACTGGCTTTGTGTTATCTTGAGTCTGCGCGAAGTTAAAATATAGGGGTTTATAAGGGAAAGTACAGTGACACCAAGACTTAAATTTAACCATCATAACGAAAGATACCAATATGATCTCTGGAAATAACAGATTTGTGGCTGTCAGGAGTTGCGGATTGCTGAAGTTGTGCTGCTCAAAAGTGGGTGGCCAGAATAAATGGAAAGGTTCAAACGGGACCATGGCTGAATAGAGGCTGAGAATACCTGTTCTAGATCACTAGCTACTGCCCACAGAGGCTTCGGTCGAATGTTGTCGACTCCAGGATAATTGTGGATACGCAAAGATGACAATTACTTCAACACAGCTTTCACAGTGAAGGTGATGTTGTTTAAACCCGACGGTGGAGAATATTTGGGCTCGTTATCTGCTAGAAAGTTTGGGAGGAATGAAGACGTGGGAGATCGGCTGCCACCATTGCTGAACGCGTACATCCGTCAGCTGTAAATATTGATGGAATTCTGCGCTTCACCTTTGGAAGGCCGTTAACGTGCCTGTACAGCAGCTTGCGGTTCGTGCAGAATCGCTTCATTAACTGCTGCTGATGCGTGACCTTGTCTTCGCGGATCAGTTTCACACAGAAGTTACGATGAGTTACGTATGCAGTCCAGGTTTCGGCATTCGGGCAGTCTTTGTGAGTTCCGCATGTTAAGTCCCTCAGGGATATACATTTACGTGTTCTTCTCCTCAGAAATGACTTATGCTTGTTTTAGGGTTGGAAGGACTTTTGTTTTCATGCGTGCGCAACCAGTGTGCTAAACGTCCTTGTGATCGTTTCCCAGGTGACGCCTGGGAGCATTCGGTTAAGAAAGTCCAAGACGTGTCCTTAGCAAGCGTAGATAACACATGATAGTGCGTGTCAGTATACAGTTTGTCGTTCTCTTTCACAGGATACTTTGTATAACATATATAGTCAAACGGTAGATTAACATGTTCACTGCGACCCAGTGGCGATCTTGTAACTATCCCGTCGACCGTGAGTTCTTCGTTAGTAAGCACAATGGAGTATCAACGGTTTGTTAGTATTTCCTAGTCTGGTGGGAGAGGTTATTTGGTTGTACAGAGGGTGGCTGGAAATTAGGTCTTGCAAGCAGGCTTTAAACTGCACACCATCGGTTGCTGGAGTTTCCATGTCGTGCTCATTAAAGTCTCCAGCGATAAGAATATGTCTATGGGGCTTGTTCAAAGCAAACTGAAAGACGTGGTTCAGTTTGGAGTTTATTTGCGACCTAGAGTTTGGTGGGCGATAAATTACGGCGAATAAACGTGTTCTTCTTCCACAACCATAGGCAGCAGCAAAGCGAATTCGGGGCGCGGATTTCCGGGCCATCAAATACTTCACATCGGAGGTTTGTATTGTAATAAAGAATCACACCACCCCCCTTTTAGTTCGATCGTTCCGATGCAGCGACACACAGGGTAAATTGATCTCAGAATCGGTTATCTCAGTGTTTAATCAGGTCTCTGCAACCATGACGAGGTCACGCGGTTGTGAGGCATGGAGTTCTCTCAGGTCGGCCAACTGACTAAGAAAGGCTTGGACGTTTGTGTACAAACAGGATTGTCTTCTTGTGGTTAAGGATGCGTTGATGGATGGTGTTGTATACGAAAAGGTCACTCTCGGAAACGGACTGTTGTAATCTGAACAATGTCTAACTGGGTGAGTACAATAAGGTTTCGCAAGGAGAAGGATGAACCAATAAGGAAGTAGAGAATTAGACGCTTTGTGTGTGTGTGTGTGTGTCTGGGTTGTGTGCACGTGTCTGTCTAGACTAGACGCCCAGACAGCTGACAGAATACACAACATCACCTCTCCGCTTAATCGTATGAGGCGTCAAAACCATATCGATACGGTCGTCTTTGTTCTCGGCTCGTCCTGCGGAGCTGCGTGCTTTGCGTTGTCTCGTCAGTGAAGTTTGGTGGTATTTGCCTCGTTCGTCTGATACTTGTGAATAATCGCCGGGAGTTGACTGTTCGGCCATCCTCCAGCCGGTAAGTGCCTGGCCCACATGCATGCATTATTCTTATCGGATCTGATAACGTGGGTTGTCCTTTTGATGCAGCGTTTACCTTCACGCGCACGAATGTTCCGGGCTGGAGCGGCGTAGTATGCTTCTGGTAAGTGGTCTGATATCGATGGCGACGATCTAACTCGTCGGAATTATTGGTTGCAGGAATTGGAAGTGCGGCATTCAACTTTGTCCGAAGGACACGCCCAAGCATGAGTTCAGCTGGCGTTTTGTCTGTAGCTCGGTGGTGTGCGGTTCGGTAAGAAAATAGTGCTTGTAGAACTGCATCCTCCCAACCTGTACCAGATAAGCGAATAGCTTGGATACTCTCTTTCAAGGATCGATTGAACCGCTCTACCATGCCGTTTGCCGCTGGATTATACGGCGTTGTACGTGAGTGTCGGATAGCGTGAAGTTGAAGGAACGAATGAAACTCATGGCTTGTAAACTGCGGCCCGTTGTCCGTCACTATCTCCTCTGGTAATCCGAAGCGGGAGAACATATATTTCAGCCATCGAATAATGCTGGCAGTAGTCACCTCTCCACACAAATGGACTTCCGGCCACTTACTGTAGAAGCAGGTCGCTACCAAACAGTTCCTTTGATGCTGAGGCGCTGAGCTAAATGGACCCATGATGTCAACAGCTATCTTGGCCCACGGTCGCATAGGATAGTCAATGGGTTGTATAGGGGATGAAACCGGCCTTGAACTCTTGTCTGCCCTTTGACATGAAGAGCAGTCATGAACAAGGTTTTCTATTTCGTGTGACATTTTGGGCCACCAGAAACATGCGTCAACCTTGCGTTTCGTACGAACGATACCAGGGTGGCCTTCGTGAGCACATAGCATGATCTTTTGTATCAAGCTCCGAGGAGCCACAAACTTTTCGCCACGCATTAAACATCCATCTATAACTGAAAGTTCGTGACGCAACACGTAGTACGGACGAAACTCGCCTGTGATCTTATTGTTTTGTGGCCAACCGTTTAGCAGATACTCCTGAACGTGGCAGAGTGTCTCATCTTCCTGAGTGGCCTTCTGGAGTTCTTCCCTAGTCAGGGCTGAGATTGGTTCATTACTCAGCGAAGACACCAGTAATCTCTCATTATCATCCTCATTATTTTCAGTTTCGTTGAGGGGTAGTCGAGAGAGCCCATCCGCTACCTGGTTTTCGCGTCCGGGACGGAATTTAATTTGAAAATCGTACGTTAACAATCGTGCATACCAGCGGTGTATCCGAAGTGGCCTGATGCCATTTGTTCCTCGAGTAAGTAAACTAGTTAGCGCTGCGTGGTCTGTACGAAGAGTGAAGGGTCTTCCGAACAAGAACAGATTCCACTTCTCACAGGCCCAAACACAGGCAAGGGCTTCTTTTTCCCCGGCAGAGTAAGAAAGCTCCGCCGCCGACAATTTTCTGGAAGCGTAAGCAATAACTCTTTCATGCCCATTTTGAATTTGGGATAGTATAGCACCCAACCCAATGTTTGATGCATCAGTAGAGACAATCGTTGGGCACGTCTCGTCGAAAATCGCCATAACTGGTGTGGAAGCAATGCGGCGTTTTATCTCATCAAATGCCTTTTGTTGGGGTGGACCCCAAACAAATACACTTTTCTCCTTTGTCAGTTCACGCAGTGGCTCAGCAATATTTGTGAAATCCTGCAGATAACGTAGGTTGTAAGAACACATACCTAGAAAATGCTTTATTTCACTGGAGTTCTGTGGGCAAGGAGCCTCAGTGATGGCACGCGCGTTGTCAAAACTCGGCTTCATACCGTCATTTGTTATAATGTGGCCCAGGAACTCGATCTCACTAGCATTAAATTTGCACTTCTCGAGGTTTAATCTGAGGTTAAGATCGTGTAGTCGACGTAACACAGCATGCAGCCGTGAATCATGTTCTTCTGGAGTCCTACCGAATACACAGATGTCGTCCATGTATACTATCTGACCAGGTAAATTGGCAAATGAGTGAACCATAAACTTTTGCCAAGCTGCTGGAGCTGAACTCAAGCCCATTGGCAAGACTTTGTACTGAAAGAGTCCGTCCATAGTGAGAAATGCGGTCAGCGGTCTTGACTCCTTAATTAGAGGCATGTGAAAGAAAGCCTTCCTAAGGTCCAATTTTGAAAAATATCGGGCGCCAGCTAGTTTAACTATTAGTTCATCCGCGGTTGGAAGCACAAACTTTTCTACCACGATTTGCCGATTTAGGGCCTGCAGGTCATTGCATATTCTTACTGTACCGTCCTTCTTGAGGACTGTAACCATAGGGTGGACCCATTCAGAACAGTTAATGGGTTCAATGAGATCATCTGCAATCATCTGCCGTAATGCTGACGAAACAGCCTCTCTTCTGGCCAAAGGAATTGGACGTGGATGAGCAATAGCTACCGGTTTAGCATCCTGCTTCAGACATATGCGGTGAACGGAGGACGGAGCACGCCCTATTGTTTGTTCAAATAATTTCGGGTACCGTACCTGTAGGTCTGATAGGTTAATTGCCATGATACGCATACGAGCTAGGGACGGCGTGACTCCCAGTGCAACCATAGCGTTGCGTCCGAGTAAGGGACGGTTATTTCCGCGGGTAACGTACACAGCAACTGATGATTTCACGGCCCCAAGTTGCAACACAATCACCACAAATCCTCGTATTTCTACCGGGGCCTTTGTATAACTGTCAAATCGATAGGCTGAAGGATGTATAGGCATGTCATGCAGGTGAATGTCATAAAAACTACTCGGTACTATAGTGATAGGAGAGGCTGAATCAAGTTCCATGTCAACATGTGTTATTCTATCGTGTGCAAAAACTGTAACAGTACGAATGTCAGGCATAGGTAGTTTAGGCTCTGGACAATTGGAACGATAGTTAGACACAGTACTTGTGTTATCAATGGAAAATACATTTTCAGAGGACTGTAACTGTTGATTAGAAACGGAATCTGTAGGATTCAACTGAGAAATGCGTGCTGAACGACAACAACGAGCAAAATGTCCACGCTTACCGCACTTTTTACAATCCATTTCTAAGGCAGGGCACTTGGTAAAATTGGCTTTATGCTGTAGGCTGCCGCAGCGGAAGCATTTCTGTGGGGATTGGAATTCAGTTGGCGAGCGATGGATCTTGGAAACCTCCTGTATGTCTGCGTGGGTGGCGAAACATCGCAACTGTTCGGCCGTACATGTTTTGAGGCGAGCTAATTCCACAGCCTTATCCCAAGTCAATTTGGAAGCGTCTTCGGAAAGTAGGCATTCCCGAATTCGGTTGTTGGTGATACCACTAATCAACTGCTGCACTAGCATTACGCCCTCGATTCTATTTTTCGGTATGGTTGGATACTCGCAGGGTCGTACACCGCGAATGAGGCGATCAACGAAACCGTCTAGAGTTTCCGATGGTTCCTGTGTAAGTCGGCCGAATTTGAGGCGAGCCATGAAGAGATTTGTACGCTGTCCCCATGACTTGTCCAGCACCTCTAGCGCTTTCGCCAAGGTATCTTGTGACTGCAGCTCCAAAGCATCAAATTGACGTTGTCCCTCATCACCTAGTAGGTGTCTGAGTAGCTTCAGTTTCTGGCTTTCAGTGTAGTTAGCAGCCGCAGGTAGTAGGTCAAGGTAGTTTGTAAACGATGTTTTCCACTGGGCCCATGCACTTTCGGTAGGACGTACGGTCGGATCAGACCAGTAAACTGTAGGAGGATGTAATTCCATGGCGTAGGTTCGTAAGGCGCGACGCCAGTGTTGTATACGAAAAGGTCACTCTCGGAAACGGACTGTTGTAATCTGAACAATGTCTAACTGGGTGAGTACAATAAGGTTTCGCAAGGAGAAGGATGAACCAATAAGGAAGTAGAGAATTAGACGCTTTGTGTGTGTGTGTGTGTCTGGGTTGTGTGCACGTGTCTGTCTAGACTAGACGCCCAGACAGCTGACAGAATACACAACAGATGGCAAATTTGTTTCTTTTGTGGCCGACCGTTAGATTTTAATTGCTTTTGGTTTATGAATTTCAGTCAAGTTTAATGGCACCGTTGAGCTTTCCTGAACAGAAGTTCCGCTCGTGCTTTGCTCTGTCCTGTTGTGTGACGTGGGTGCTGTTGTGTCGATCTCTCCTCATGACTATGCAGACATAGAATTTACGGCGGTTGCAACTTCCATCGAAATACTCCTCCCTCGTGGCCGTACGCCTTCTGCCTTTAACCGAATCTCGGTTGGTAACGTCGCTCGAAACTTTAACCAGTTATCTAAACGAAATTGCGTCATCCCCTCAGAGTGTGGTACTACTTTCATTAACCTTGGACCACGGCCCTTATGGTTAGGTCATGACGGCATTTTTATTAACGATTAGACAATCACGTTGTCCAGAGAAAGTGCTTCCCAGGTGTAGCGTCACTGCCGTCGGTCATTTGTTTGCACATCGGGAACAAGTGAGTCCGGGAGCATTGGAACACCATGAAAAATATGATGTTATTCCTCAATATCTTGGAACATATTTGGAACCGATCGGGAAGTCATCATTTCAAAAAACTTGGTAGACGACCGGTTAATCTATTTATGGTGATGGACCATCACCATAAATACACTAACTGGTCGTCTACCAAGTTTTCTGAAATGATGATTTTATTCCTATTGCTATTAGGAGGGCTGCCTTGTTTACCCTCTTCTTATGGATGATCTTTCCATGGAAGATCGGGTAATATACGCACCTCGCTCGGTAAGTTGCGTAGGCGAACTGCCGAGAGACGGCAGCCTCTGTCTCATCTGCTGCGTTTACTGTTATACACCGATTTGGAGGTTCTCCAGGGTACACTGAGGTTGGGTGACGCTCTACGCTTCTCAGCGTAGTGGGCTCAACTCAAATAAAAATGTTATCGCACATGAACTTCACTGGTTGCGATCGCCTAGCAACTTTGCTTTTATTGTGCCAGATTTGGACTCGGGAGCATTAGTGCACACCAGAGTTAGCGCAGTGTGTTTTTGCCTAGCGAGTCTCGGTTATAGTGCTGTTGCTGGTAAGTTGGGCGGTTTAGAAGGCCCCACTGGAGTTGACGGTGAAAGCTGCTTCGCTTCGCGTTTGCTTATACAGTGGATGAACTTACGTAGGTCGCTCCCGGTGTATTTACCTAGGCGACCGGTGCTTTTGTTACGCGCTTGTCATCTGCACCGGACGGCCTCCGGCTCTGAGCTATCGGTGTCATGGCTGAATCTCTAGGTGAAGGGTCCATGGTTGGAAGAGTGGGAGTGGGCATGTTTGAAGGTTGTCCGTTTGTGGTAGTGATATAACCCAGAGAATTTAGAGAAAGAGACGCTGCAGTGCAGTTCCAGCTCTGACTCTCTTTTTCTGCCTAGAGATGGAGCTTGTGTTAGCTGATTGAGGTATCAACGTGGCAATACCTACCTCGGACGGAGGCATCATAGTACTCACTAAGTGAGCGATTAGCTCAGTCAGCCTATCAGTCTTTTTCATGAGCAAATGCAAATTTCGGTTAGCTGGAATGAGTTGGCATGTCGGACAAAACCGAAAGATGTCAGTACCTTTGTTCATCTGCCACACTTCCTAGGCGGATTTTCCTATATATTGGGAATAGTATGATCTGATGCAGCTAGCACACGTTATCCTGATCATAATGACTTAACCGCAATTCTCTGAAGAGCATACGAGGCTTTGCATCGTGATTGGAATGTCGACTGCACCGTGGTCGTTTGCAGCGAAGTTTATCCGAGCCGTCGCTCTAGTAATGGCGTCTGCGTTTGATGAATGTTCTGTGAACCAAGCGTGCAGGTGCCACAAACACGTCAAAACACTTATACGAGTTGGGAGTTGTTCAACGCGTAGTTTGATTGTTCCCGCGCCAAGGTCAGTCAGCCGAGGCAGATGTATGTCTCATCGTCTCGCTCACTAGCGATCGCGCAGACGGCCGCGTTTAGCGCTATGTCATCTCTGGGTTGTATGCACATACCCACACGAAGCGGTGGCTTGAACTGCTCGGCCATGTAGTAAGCGACCATACAAGTGCAGCGTTGATAAGCGACCCTAACTGCTTCGGACGCGATGTTCAGGAAATGAGTAAAGCACAATAGCCGTAAGCTTTTATGCTGCAACTTGCAGGGATGGTTTCTAAGTCTTTTGGGAGCCCCCAGCTTCTTCTTCCGAATCAGATCAAAAGATTTTCCGAAAAACTCAGGATTGATGTAATCGCTAACGTAGAACTTGACAAAGCGTGTGCGAAAATTGAGAACTGAGGCAAGAGTAAGAACCATACAAGTTAGATCCAAGAGGTGGGCAGTACTGAGCAGAGCTGGTTCGAAAGTAGCACGCGCACAAGATTATGTGAGGTATATTAGAATGGCAACAGAGGGCGAAGCAAGAGCCGAGTTAGTGTACGGCTGTACGGCGTGAAACGACGGCGCAGGGGTGACGGACTAAGTAAGATGCCCGTCTACAGAAACGTTACATGGTCCTGCCAGTACCTGCATTTCACCAGCTTCCCAGCAGTGCGATGGTAACGGGCACTTGTGTAACCATTTTCGTGCTAGACGAATTTGTTCGGCTAGATTTAATTACTACGCCCATGGGTTATCGTTACCGTCGCAGATTCATAGATAAACACATGCAGCAGTAAAACCCATAGGACTTAGCACAGATACCAGCTAAGAAAGCGGTCTGTATCGCGTTGTCTTTCAAGTGTGACTTCCCTACACTGGAGACCACCAAAGGTTTAATTTCTGCTACGTAGAGAACTTACCATGCAGCTGAGGTTGTGGTCATTAATTGAACTCGCAACTTACCGGTTCCTCCAACGAAGGAAGTTAAGCTGCTCGTGACCAATTCACATTGCATAGACCAATTTGTGTGCGACTGCGGAATCAGTTACATAGGTAGGACTGATCGGTCTTAGACTTTCCGTATAAAGGAACACATGCCGAGGTGGGCTAAATGTGAAATTGACCAGCATCCCTGCCCCCCTGAATCCGTGTGCTTACAGGGCGCCAGCTTCTTCAATAGGTAAACACCTACCGTGCGCGCGTCACCGGATACAGCTCGGATCAGCGTTCATAATCTTGTTAAGTCACTCCAATCCTTCGTTTCGCCGAGACTGTGGCAATAAGCCGGATGAAGTCAGTCCTATGTGTTCAGCAAAATTATTCGTGAGCTTAAGACTGCCATGGACATAGGAGTTGAACTTCCGTCATTCATTTTGCACCTCAAGCTTGTTTAGTCACACCCATAAGTATCTACATAGTTTCATATCGGTTATCCTTAATGTTACTGACGAGACAATAGCAAATGCATGCAGCTACCAGTTTCCGTCTTCTTATCGCACTGCTCAAATTGTTAAAGGGAATTACCTGCTTTAAGTACCGTTTCGCCTACCAAAAATTTCCGTAATTACACTCCAATATCTAATGGGATTTTTACTATTGTGAAACATCGCTTAGAACCCCCCGTGCTGAAATCGTTCAACAAGTATGTGAGCTTTCAGACCAGGATAACGAAAGCCGATATTTGTCTTGGTTTCATAGAAAAGTATATCGAGCACACCATCTATTCACTGAGTTATTGGAAATTCCTTCCTCGCTCACGCATCCGGCCGGACAACGTATGCCTGAAGCGGTTCGCTCTCAATCAGATTGAAGAGACGAGCTCAAGCGTGGGCTAAGTCAGTTAACTACCGCGCTAACCAGCCTTTCTAGGAAGAATGGTGGGGTTAGAGACGGTCCAGAAAATCGTCACAATACGAGGAGTAAAACTAAGTGGCTGGCTCTCAAAGACGCCAAAAGAAGAGAAAGCGACCATGTTTTTTCGCGCCGACCCTGAAAAGTAGGTTTGCAATTTATCTTCCTTGACACTTGATCGTACCACAATAGAAGTCCTGGTTTTGGGCCCTAAGTGCTGTCTCCTCACTCGAAGAGACAATAGACTGGTAATCGAAGCTCAGTTGGAATATCTGTGCGCGCAAACCTCACAATTGGCTCTGTACTCTGACTCACAGTTAGAAGAGTTTAAGTCGCTACTAGTGCACTCAGGCTACCATTATCGCCGAGTTCGGATAAAGCATAATACCCCAGTGAAACAGGAGCACATCCAGGCCTTAAAACAGCGAGTTAGCAATAAGGATGTTTTGCTTACTCGGCCGGATAAAGGCGCTAGTATGGTTGTTATGAACAAGGCAGATTACATCCGGAGAATAAATGAACTGTTGGCAGTCGACACTAAGTTTTTCGCACCTGCCTAATGAGAAGGACGAGACAAAACAGATCGAAATCAAATCTGCAATTGATAAAACACAAGGTAGCGAAGAGCACTCTTTTCGATAAATCTCATCAGGCGTTTACAATTACAAAATAGAAAGTTGAAGCGGGATAGGCTGGTGAAGCGCGATAAAGATGAGCGAACCAGAGCGAGGCAGAAAGTGAGCTGTCCTAAACGATACATTGGTCGATCCACTCAAGCAGCGGCTACCACAGTATACGCAGGCAGACCTAGATACACACACACACACACACACACACACACACACACACACACACACACACACACACACACACACGTGTATACGCACGAGACATAGGACGTGCTTTTCAACGGATTGGGTGGCGTACTCATCACCCGGTGGTTGTCAGCATGTGGAGTGGAAACTGTTTGGAAGTGGGTTAGCCCCAGGGCAGAAGGAGCGCTTGAATCAGCGCTCTGTTTGCATAGTTCAGGTTGTGTGAGCCTAATTGCAATGGCTTCGGCTGAACAAAAGAGTTTCCGTTGCAGTAGCTCGAACATTTCCAGCTG